ATGGAGATAAAAGGAAATTACATGAATGAATGTGAAAGCTTATATAGGAAATGCATGAGAAAGAAAAAGTTTATACCCTTCTAGCTTCCTCAATTTTTTTGATTTTCTCCTTTCTTTTTTTGGTTTTTACACCTCTAATAACCATTGCCTCCCTTTTTTCCAGTCCTTTATGATATTATTTAAAGGCCAAGCAACTATTTCGTAGTTTTTTTATTAATCCCCATCCAATGATCATAGTAATTTTTGTCTTTTCCCTCAAGTTTAGTGATCAAGCAATGTAATTTTGATCCTAGGACTTAAACCTTTTTAAAATCAATGGCTCTAAGAAAATAGAGTACACAACTTGGCCTCTATACAATTGTCCTAATGAGAAAAGATCATTTTACACTTAGTAGTGTTTTTAAGCTTTTTTTATGATTTTTCCAAAATATTATGATCCAATTTTTATTTTCATAATTTTAATAGATTAAAAATCATAAAATAATATTTAACTATGATCTAGAGTTTTTTGTAAAAAATCATTCTTGAAAAAGTCAAATTATAAAAATACTTCTATAGAGCATTTTAGTAATTTCACTCTTTCTAAAGTGCAATAAAGATTTTTAATACTTCAAAATTCATGAAATAATATTTAAACATGATTTGAAGTTTTTCACAAAAAATTGATCTCAAAAAGGTTAAATTACGAAAATGTCAGGCGTTTTCAATACCTAAAGTTGTTTACAAACTCGAAGGATTTGTATGAAATCTTATATGAAATAATATGTTCCTAAATACCGTTTAAATGATTGAATATTTAAAAATTTTTATTTCATTAAGTTTTTATATGATTGTTTAACAAAAAAATAATAAAAGGTTTTAACAAAATAAAAGAAATAAAAGCAGGATCTTAAGTATAAATAGTCTCATCTAAACTTTGCTTAGAGATTGAAGAGTTCGAATGATCATTTTATATTTAAGAATCCGATTTCAAAATTGTATCTCATCATCATATATAACATAGCATATCTTTATTTTTAGGTTGTTGCTTACGTTCATTTCACATGTTTATATCTTTTAATTATTATTACTTATTTGTTAATTGCAGCATCATCAAATTTTCACAAAATATTTTTTTCATGGAAAATATTCAAAAATATGAATTTTGAAATAAAACTAAAATAACATTCCACAAGAAATAATTCTTAGTACTCTGCCTAGAGGTTGAAAATCACCTGCAATTATCTACAAATAATGTTATTTTCATTTTAAAAGAATGTCGTAGTAAATCTTAGAAAGAAAGAGTTATCTTTAAATTTTGCATAGATATTGAAAAATTTTAAGATGATTCTTTAATCTAAATATTTTCGTAATATTTTTAAATAAGATTTTTTATCAAATACATTTGATTTTTTTTAAATGAAGGAAATTATCATCAAATTTAAAATTGAAATAATTTTTATGCAATACCAAAAGATAATGCTTGATTAATTAGTATCATTTTTAAATGGGTATTATAGGAATGCTAATTTTCTCCATGCATAATTGTACCCCCTAAATCCAGCTCTATTTTCAAATATCAAAAATATCTTTTTGATAAATCTTAAATTTATTTTTTTTATTTTATTAAAAATATAATATTTTTAGGTAGCCAATCACATCTAACAAAAGAATTAATTGCGACTTCTCATATTTTTTATTTATATATAAAATTTTATGTCTTGTAGTCGAGTTTACAAATCCGCATGTTGCAACATAAGTCAAACATTAAAATGGAAAATAAGTAAAAATTAGAGCTGCAAAATTCTTGTAGTGTAAAACTACATAATGGATAAAATGCAACAACCACCAAAACCCCATGATACAAAAATTCACTTTTAATATATCAAAACTCTCTCTTTTATTGTTTTTCTTTCATATGGATAATTTGATAAGGTATTTATTTAATACTATTTAGAATTTTTAATAATATATTTAGTGTAAAATAATGATGTAGAGATATAATCTAACAAATTGTAAAATTTTAAAAAAGCAAGCATCAATTTTAAATTTATTAAAAAAAGTTTATATGTATTTATGAAAATAGCATCATGTTGTTCTTATTTTGTATTTTTCATATGTTATCTTATGCATTATAAACTTAGTTAATCTGAATTAGTATTTGATTTAAATTAATTAAGAACAAATATCTTAATAAAAGAAAGTAAATTTTAGAGAAAATATTCGAAACCAAATAAATATATATAAATTGATAAGGAAAAAAATTCTTACGTTTTTTAATTATGAAAATTATTTGACTCAATTATCGAGTATTAATTATTTTCATTTGAAAATGACAAATTTTGATATTTAAAAGTTTCAATATTATAAGTTTTTGTTGTATTTGTGTTAATTTCTATTTAAACTTTTTATTACTTTGCTATTATAAGAAATATTTCAAATATTTTTGTTAAAAGTATGTTTTACATTTTGTTGGTCTAAAAGTCTATTTTATATTTAGAAGACATTATTTTTACATTAAATAAGAAATTTTAAGTAAATATATTAAATAGTAAGTTTGTTCCTAGTGAAACAAAATCTTGAATTCATTCCCGGGTGCAAAAGAGTTGTTTTGGGTGTAGGGGGAAGTGGTAACAATTGTTGGAACTTGGAACACGTGGGAAGGTATGTGGGCATTATTTTGGCTATGCATACAAGAAATCCTTATTGATTTTTTACTGATTATTAGCTGGAAATGTCATAGAAGTAATTTCCCGGAGAGAAAAAGGGAATGGAGAACACTAGTAGGTCAAAACTCAAATGCGTAAGGCAGGGAGAACATCAACTTAAAAAAAGTTTGTCCAAATGGACATATATATTCCTTGTTGATCATATTTTTTTATTATTATTTGTGATTTTTCTATAAATTCACAAATTGAGTCGGTGTCAAGCTCACTCAGTCCCTTTATGTGTTGGTTAAAATATTAGAAAAGCCTCGTTACGTTCCTCAATTTTTCAGATAAGCTCCTATTCTTCCATTGCACCCAATTGAGATCTTAAAACATTATTTTGTTTTACTAGGCCCATATTTTGGATAAATCTGTTGAAGTGCATTATCTTTGCCTTGTCAGGTATCTGCGTGGTTATTACTTTTGCTACTTCAGCACCTATATGGCAAAAATATGAAAATTCATGGTGAGGTAGCATTTCCATGGCATGCAGCCCTAGCTATCATGACATGCCACAACAGAATCAATCTTCAGAGCCCTTATTTTGCCATGTATATTACCTTTGTAGATGCTGACATGGCAGAGAGAATGGCCTCGAACGTGCTGATACGGCTAAGATAACAGATTTTTTCGGTTTCCATCCACATGGGGGCTCTATTAAACAAAAATAGTACTTAAAGGGCTCACTTTTGTACAGTATAACATATGAGCTTTATCTGCGAAATTTTAGAAAGTACCAGGATCTTTTTTAATATTTTAGCCTGATTTATTAGTATAGAACTGTTTTAGGTTTGATGTATGCCAATTTGATTTTTTTTTGTTACAAACAGGCAAGACAATTGGAAGCAAGCATTGAATCGACAAGGAAAGAGTTGGAGGACCCAACAGAAGTAGAAGTTGAGCTGAAGCGAAGGCTTGGACAGCTGACTGATCATTTAATTCAGAAACAAGCCCAGGTCTGTCTTTCAAACATTGTACATGTGAATGGTTCTGGTTAATCAAATATCACATCTATTTCTGCACTTTAGGTCTCCACTTTTCCTTTAAATTTTTTTTCTTTTTTACTTTAAATACAGCATGCAGGATACCTAACTGTGTTTAAATAGTAGCAAGAAACAATCAAGTTTGACTCCAAATATCAATTGATCATATGCCAAAATCAGTGGAATAATTTAACCCAAGCACCTTTCTGCAATAATTCAACTTAGAAACATCAATGCAATGCCAAGTGTTGAAATGCATGCAAGTGTAAACTCACATGAATTAAACAAATTGATATTGAAGATTTAATTCATGTGTTACGCTCCTCGCTGTATCCAATAACAATTTTTCTTGCAAAGAGTCACTTTCTTCACTCTGTTGTTTTCTTCAGGTTGAGACTCTCTCCTCAGATAAGGCAACACAGTTGTTTAGAATTGAGGTACTTATTTTATGAATGATTAGCATTACAATTTTCCAGAACTAAACAACAGGTCTTGTAATTTGGTTTTGTGAACTTTAGGCAGTTTCTAGGATGCTGGATGAGAGCAAGTCCATGAACACTAGTGATGTCTCATCAAGTGATTTGGAATCAGGAACATGGGATCTTTGTTGAAGCCTCTGCTTGAGGACAAAATTCTGTCCGGCAAACGGCAACTCGGATCAATGGTCAAGCAGTTGGATGCTATTGTGGCTGGTGCAATATTCTTAAAAAAAAAAAATGCAACAGCAAAACTTTGGTCAATGGTCTACCTCGTATGTCTTCACCAATGGGTCATTTATATTCTGGTATCACATTCCCAGCCACCAGATGAGGGAAGACGGGTGCTCTTACGTAGGGGTGTAAATGATACATTAGTACTCGTAAGCTACTCGGGTTCGATTCGAAAAAAACTCGAATTCGGTTCGATTATTGTCGAGTCGAGCTCGAGCTCGAGTAGCTCGACTTACCGATCGAGCCGAATTCGAGTATTCTTATATCTGACTCGAGTAGCTCGCGAGCCTAATCGAGCTTTTATATTAAATATATTTTTTATTTTTTTTAATTAATAAAATATTTCGAATCCGAGTTCGAGTTCGAGTTCGAACATGAATAATCGAACTCTTGTCGAGTATACGAATCGAGCTTATTTTTACATATTAATCGAGCTTAATCGAGCGAGCTCGAGTAGCTCGAATTCGATCACGAATCGAGCTCGAGCTTAAAAAATAAACTCGATCGAGCTCGAACCGAGTATCGAGCCCGGAGTTGTGAGTCGAGCTCGAGCTCGAGCTTCTCACTACTCGCTCGCTCGGCTCGTTTACAGCCCTACTCTTACGTCCTTGGAAAACATCAACAAAACTGCGGGTGTATAACATTTGATTTTATGTTTTTGTTTTTGTCATTTCTTGACCTCAGCTTTTAAGAGGTCTAATTTGTGCAGTTTAACAGCAATTTATTTAATCGAATTCCCCCTGACAAGGTAGAAAACATTGATTATACACAATAACCATAGTTGACGAAAGACCATCACAAGCAATCAAACAATGAAGTCCAAAATATAAATTTGAAGCTTAATTCAATATATGCTGTCTTTCTTAAAACATTTACCTCTCATAAATTTAAAATTCAAATAAATAAATAAATTGGCCCCCATTTCCCTTCCTGGAGGAAGTAGGGTTGTTGGGAGATCAATCAGATGTCATTTCCACCTTATGAAGGCGATTAAATATCAAGCACCTTTAAAACAAAATAACAATGGATAGGATGAAAAAGGGGTCAAAAATATCAAGAACATGGGCTAGAGAAGTATTAATCGGCAACTAAAAGGATACAGTCATATTATAAGAATTTTCAAATGAAGTTTCAAGTACAATATGTTCTTCCAAAGACAAACTTACTAGTGGAAAATAGGTTCAAGATTGTATAACAGCCCAAAAGTAACCACTTACAGAAAGATTAGATTTAGTCTCACCAGTTGGGCCCTTCTTGTGGAAAATTACGACTGTAGAAAGGAAATTCGAAGAGAAAAGTGGCCTTGAACCATAACGGCAGGTTCCCATATACAGCTTGTGGCAGTGGAATAAGAGGGCTGAAATCAGAAAAAGATAGTAACTTCCTCCTCCAATTCATACTTCAAGAGATTAAATAGCAGAAGCAAGGATTACTAACCTAGTTGTTTTCTTGTAAATCCTATATGCAGCCACATCACCAAACTTCTTGTCTGCTGACTCCTGAGTCCATAGATGTAATATAACATCAGTATATTGCAAAATTGTGGCAAAATCTTATAATAAAAGAACTTAAGCAAGGAAACAAACCTCGAGCAATGGTAGGCCACTAACAAAAAGAAGTAGCAATGTCAGAAAGATTGGCCCAAGAATTACAAGCCATTCAGAACCTTCAAGTATGGCTGCAGATGCCACAAAAATTCCCCACCATAGGAAAATCTGGCCAATATATTTGTTAAAAGAATCATTTAGAGAAATTATTATTAAACAAGGGCAAAGTATCAAGGCTCTAGTGGCTCTGGTATTGTTAGGTTCAACTCTATTTTCCCTTTGACATAAAGGAATGTTACGTTATGTCAAAGGGATACAGTTAAAGAGATCTATATTTTTTAATTTAAAAGCAATATAACCCAATCCCCACATTTCTCAATTACTTGAATCCCATGTCACCTATTTGAGTGAGATTCTACTCGTTCATCTAACAAAAGGCAAATCTATACCCTGTTATTTTCAGCTTAGAGATACCCAACTATTACAACCTACAATTGCAGGTGTATTAGAGATGGTACAGACGCACATAAATGGAGATTGGAATCTGGTCCTAACTATGAGAAAGGTAAAACCAGGCAGTGATAACATTAGTAAGGAATGATGTCAAAATGCAAATGAAATTTCAGCAGTTTTTGCTGAAGGTGCACCAGAGTTTTGGACAGAAACAAAAATTGTTACACCCACACTGTTCCAATCTAAAGATCCAAAACATCCACATGCTTATAGCAATCTGTAAATCAGAAAAATTAGATGAACCTTGAAGAAATCTCTAGAATAAAACTATTTTATTCTTCTATATTTTTCTTATTACAATGCTTGAATTGCATGAAAATATATAGGTTAAAAACTGAATATTCTCAGCCTTAAAAACCCAAGATTTTCATGTATTAAAACAGCTAATCAAAGGAGTAATTTACTCTCTACACATAATAGAAAATATCTAATGGATTTGGTGTAATTACCCAAATTACTTCTTATTGTAAAAATAAAAAACTTAACTAAAATAGATAAAGTCAACCAATCAAGTGATAATGAAGATTAGATTTCCACCTCCCCTCAAGCTGGTGGTAGATGTCAATCATGCCTAGTTTGGACTTAAGATTCTCAAAGTTATTTCGAGAGAGAGCTTTAGTGAGTATGTTTGCAGTTTGGAGGCATGTGGGAGTATAAACTAATCTAACAATTCCATCCTCTATCTTCTTTCTGATGAAGTGACAATCAATCTCCACTTGTTTAGTCCTATCATGATGAACAAGATTCTTTACTATACTTATGGCAGCGTTTTTGTCGCAAAATATCTTCATGGATTCTTCTGAAAAGACCTTTAACTCCCTTAGCAATCTTGTCAACCAAATTCCCTCACATATGCCATGATACATAGCCCTAAACTTAGCTTTCGCACTACTTTTACCCACCACCGATTGCTTCTTGCTTCGTCAAGTAACCAAATTTCCCCACACATAGGTACAATAACCAGTAGTTGATCTTTGGTCAATAACAAATCCAACTAATTAGCATCAGCGTAAATTTCAACATTTCGGCGTGATGTCTTATTAAAAAATAACCCTTTGCCAAGACTTTTCTTTAAGTATTATAAGATTCGATACACAGCCCTCAAGTGTTCCTTGGTTGGGTTGTTCATCAATCTACTTCCATGCTAACTGAAAAACCGATATTTGGTCTTTTATGAGAGAGGTAGATAAGTTTCCTAACAAGTCTTTGATATCTACCCTTATCTATTGGTAGACTTCCTTCTTCCATTCCTAACTTATTCATTGTGTCCATAAGAGTATCAGCAGGTTTGCATCCAAGTATTCCAGTTTCCTTTAGTAAGTCTAGGACATACTTTCGTTGTGAAACAGAGATGCTATTTCTTGAGCAAGCTACCTCCATGCTAAGAAAATATTTGAAGTGTCCCAAATCATTGATTTCAAATTCTTTGGCTCGGAAGTTCTTTAGGTTGCTAATTTCTTCCACACTCTCCAGTAAGAATAATGTTATCCACATAGACAATAAGAATGGATATTTTTCCTTCACGTGAATGTTTGAAAAACATGGTGTGATCGGTCTAGCATTGTGAAAAATCATACTTCTTTACCACTTTTGTTAGTCTATCAAACCATGCACATTGGGATTGTTTGAGACTATATAAAGACTTTTGAAGCTTACATCCCTTGCCAAAATTGTCTTGGTTTTTGAATCCTAGAGGGATTTCCATGTAAACTTCTTCTAGGTTGCCATTAAGAAATGCATTTTAGACATCTAGTTGGTGGAGTGACCAATCTAGATTTGCTACCAATGATAATAACACCCGGATTGAATTAAGTTTAACAACCGGAGCAAATGTCTCCTCATAGTCAACACCATAAGATTGAGTAAATCCTTTTACAACAAAGCAAGCTTTAAATCTGTTAATACTTCCATCTGCATTATGTTTGACAGTAAAAATCTATTTGCACCCAATTGGATTTTTCCCTTTGGGTAGTTCTAAAATCTCCCATGTTTTGTTCTTTTCTAGAGCCTTGATTTCTTCCAAAACAGCCATCTTCTATTTTGGTTGCATTAGTGCTTCATGAATATTATTGGGAATTTGCGTATTGTTTAGTGTGGTAACGAAAGCCCGATAACTGGGTGATAAACCTTCATAAGAAACCACATTACAAATTGAGTGTTGAGTACATGATCTCACACATTTCCTTAGCGCTATGTTTGGATAAATATTAATAAAGGAAAGTAAAGGAAAAGAATGGAAAAGAAATTTTTTAAAGGAAAGGAAAGGATATATGTAACCCTTGTTTGGATAATTAAAATTTATAAAAGAAAAGAAAGGAAAGGAATTCTAACAACCATTGTTTGGATAAAGAGTGAAAAGGAAAGGAAATGATTCATTATAATAATTTTTTCCAATTATAACCTTTCATTGCTTATGATTTTAGAGCACTCATGGACTATGATATGTTTGTTATCTTGTCTAGCCTCACAATTGCTGCTATATCAATAGTTTTTAATCAAGTGAAACAAGAAGATATTTTACAAACATTCATTGATGGATTTTGAGCTAGTCTGTCATCTTATAAATCAAAAAAATATATCTATTCATATTCAACCATTCATCAAAATCAAATCACCAAAAAATTATAAAAAAAGTTTTATATTAGAAGAGATATGTAAAACTTACTTGAAAAAAAAAATGGCTTTGAAAAAATTACAAGATAATTGTGATCTGCTTAGGCTTTTTTATTAGGTTTTTAGTATTAATAAAAAGATGGACATAATAGTCTTTTTATAAAAAAAATAGTTTTCAACTTTCCTTTCCTTAGCTTTTCCTCCAAATCGGGGTATTAAAATAATTGGGTTTAGAAGGGAAACCAAAGGTTATTTGGTTTCCACCTCATTCCCTTTCCTTAAATTAAAAATTTATCCAAACAAAAGAAAGGGGGTTTTGTTTTCTTTACATTCCTTTACTTTCCTTTCCTTCCTCTCCCCTCAATCCAAACACACTATAAATTAAAAATTTATCCAAACAAGGGAAAAGGGGTTTTGTTTCCTTTACATTCTTTACTTTACTTTCTTTTCCTTCCTCTCCCCTCAATCCAAACATATTGTAGAGCAATCGGTTGATTAAGATCATCAAAAGATTCAATTGAATCAGATTCAATAATAGTGTTACCTGTGTTGGTTTCAAGTATCTCTGTAATCGGTTTAGATTCTTGATTTTGCTTTGAAGATGCATATTATCCTATATCCTTATGAGTTTTTTGTCTTCTTGAATAGACAATCAATTCTTTGTTTGTTTTCCCTAGTGTGGACTTCGGGCTTGAGGGCTTTAGTTGGATGTTTTGAACTTTAAAGGGAGTTAGAGGATCCGGTTTGATGTTTTGGACATGAAAGGGAGTTTGAGAAGTGTTTGATAGTTCGACAATAGGATCTTCCCAAAGCTGATATTCTCGTGTAATTAGATTCTTCCCTTTAATGGCAATTATGGAAAAGTAAAGTTGATTTTCCAAAAAAGTAACATTCAACCAGTGGTAAAATTTATTTGTTAATGGTAACACTTGTATCCTTTTTTATTCGGGGAGTATCCGAGAAATATACATTTGATGGATTTGAGATCTAACTTGCTTTCGTTTTATTGGCTGGTAAAAACAAACGCAGTGCATCCAAACACTTTAATGAGAATAGACAAAATAATTCGAAGGTGAGGATAGGAACTGAAAAGGGATTGGCAAGTGCTTTGAAATTTTAGGACTCGAGAATGCATTCTATTTATAAGATATGTAGCAGTAAGAACAACCTCACCCCAAAAATGCTTAGGCACATGGGCAGCCATCATGAGGGATCTGGCAACTCCCAACAAATGTCGATTCTTTTTTTCAGCAATGCCATTTTGTTGAGAAATGTCAACACGAGCTTTGATGAATTATACCGTACATCATTAGATATCATCCAAGAATTGAATTGTAGTATTCTTTCCAATTGGCAATTCTCAAGACTTGTATTTTGGTTTTGAATTGAGTTTGGATCATATTGTTGAAGTTTTGGAATAGCTGGCTCACTTTTGATTTTTCCTTTATAAGGAATACCCAAGTAACTCTAGTGTGATCATCAATAAATATGACAAACCATCTGGAGCCAGTAATGTTATTTACTCTAGAGGAACCCCAAATGTCACTGTGTATCGTTAAAAAAGAATAGGATGGTTTGTAAGGTTGATTAGGAATGTGATGCGCGTTTGTTTAGATAGTTGGCAAACTTCATACTAAAAGTTGTTAGGATTTTGATTGAATAATGAGAAAAACAACCTTCTAAGGTACAAAAAATTTGGATGACCTAATTGATAGTGCCACAACATGATAGTACTCTTTATTATTACAAAAGGATGAAGCCACACAAGAGGTCTTTTGATATTGTCTTTCAAAATCATTAGCTCTTAGGATATAGAGTCCTGTACACATCTTAGCATTGCTAATCATCTTCCCCGAATCCAAATCCTTAAATTCACACATATTTGGAAGAAATTTAGTAACACACTTAAGGTCTCTTGTAAGTTTGCTTATAGACAGTAGATTGCAACTTAGATTTTGGACAAATAGAACAGAATCAAGTGTTATCTATTTGGTAATAATAACAGAACCTGTACCGGTTACTTTTGAAAGTGACCCATCAGCAATTCAAACTGTGAAGTTTTCATGACATGAGTTATATTTACTAAATATAGATGCATCCCTAGTCATATGGTTTGAAACTCTTGAATCCACAATTCATGAATTTGATTTCTTTAGTTTTACACTCAAGGTACTTAGAAAATTACCTTTTTGTGCTAAAGAACATATTCGAATAGGAGTGGTAATGTTCTTCAATGATTGAGAAACACTATTTTCGAGATTAAAGGTAACCTTTGAAGTCGGACTCTCCTTTCTGCTGGCCATGTTAGACTCCGAGTGAAATTTTTCAAAAGTTCAGATCGTGCTCTGATATCATGAAGAAATCTCTAGAGTAAAACTATTTTATTATTCTATATTTTTCTTATTACAATGCTAGAATTGCATGAAAAAATATAGGCTAAAGACTGAATATTCTCAACCTTAAAAACCAAAGATTTTCATGCATTAAAATAACTAATCAAAAGAGTAATTTACTTTCTACACATAATAGGAAAATATCTAATGGATTTATTGTAATTACCCAAATCATTCTTATTATAAAAATAAGAGACTTAACTAAAATAGATAAAATCAACTAATCAAGTAATAATGAAGATTAGATTTCCACAAACCTACTTTCTTTTATATCTCAGAATCACATGATTGGACCATGAAGCAAGAGCTCATGAGAGGCAGGATGATAAAGTATTGAAGCTAACAAGATTAAAATGAATTATGCAGTTAAGCAATTGGGACACTTAAATAAATCAAAGCACTATTAGCTAGAGTCATCTAGGGAAGCATGCAACCAGATGCATAAGAAAGTCAAAGCTCTTTTTCTAACTATCTTGCTGGTTCCTGGTGACAGTGGAAGGTCATGATGCTCACCTCACCAAAATAGTTTGGATGGCGAGAGTATTTCCATAATCCAATGTTGCACCACTTTCCTCTGTTTTCTGGAGAATTCTTGAAAGAAAGCTTTTGCTGATCAGCTGTAGCTTCAATAGAGATACCCACTGCCCACATAATCCACCCTATAATGTCTTCAGCCTGAATGGATGGATCTCTGTCACTCGCATTAACCACTGTTACAGGCAAACTCACAGTCCACACCCAGAAAGCCTGCCATGCATGCAAAGATTGGGGTACGTTAAAGTTTATTAAATGTCACCCCAATAAACAGCAAAGAAATAGCTGTGAGCAGACGGATAATAAGACCTGAAATATCCAGAAAACTGCTAGTTTCCCCAAATTACTGCGCATCTCATCAAAACGTCGATCCTCCCCCCATTGCAAAATTCTGATTGCCAGCATGTTACAAAAGCATAATTATGAACAATTTTACATAAGAGGAATTGTTACAAAAAGCATTCCTTCGACAGTATATGGGCAAACTCCACAAGAGTCAGAATCAATAAGATAGAAAGATGATATGAAACATTTGCTAGTTCAAAGTAGCATGCCTACCAAGTGACTAGTGTTTGCCTGATTTTTACCGATAACGAAAGGGGTCCTTCCAATGCATGAGGCATAATGTTAATCCTACCACAGGCCCAAGTGAACACTGGTCTATGGATAGCCTAGCCCGCACAAATGGAAATAATCATAACAGTAATATTATCACCTATCAAGTGTAACCTTTTACAAGAATCATACAAAATGGGGCATCTTGCATAAATAAAGAAAATTTCATAGAACTGATTATTATCAAGCTATCATTATTAAGGACTAAATATGTGGTGCTAAATCTTAGTCTGAATTACAATTAGGCCAAAAAAATTTTTTGATGCAGTCTTGGTCTTATATTGCATGAAAACATGTCCAGCAATAAGCCCATAGATATTTCCCCTCACCTCTCAGTTTTAATCATGCTTACACTGTTTTAGTCATCATTCATCGCTGCTTGATCTGCTGCTTCCTGATAGCAAAAACAAAAAAAACCTTCCCATACTAGTATTTCTTTTTATTGTATTTTCTCTGATTATAGATGCTGAGAGATAATTTGATAATTTTTTTATAAATAACTATTACAGGATAAAATGTACTACAGAAATAGATACCTCAAGCTACAAAGTAGGCAAGAAAATCTAACAAAGTCCATTAACACAAAAGTAGGAGGTAATTTTTAGCTAAATAACACTTATTGGACAAAAAGTTATGGATGCACCCTAAAGATATAAACTTCAGTTATCTAGTTCATCTTGCAATACACACCAGTGTCCAAAGCTAAACAAGCTACTCAAAAGGCTACTTTTATTATGTTGTTTATGCATGCTTGTAATTTTGTTGTTTGATCTCATTATAGGTTCATCACATTACTGTTAAAATAAAATTAGACATGTATATATAGGAATTTCTGTCAGTCACAGGTAGATGCTATGCTTATTTTGTGTGAGCACTAATGAACATATGACAATAAAACCAGTAATTAAAATTTCTATGCTTAGAAATAACTACACCAAGGAAAGCTGTTTAAATTTCTTTTGCGATTTCATATGAAATAGAAAAAGCAAACCTCTGATTGGGTCCTTATAAATTGAAGGATAATATATTTACAATATGAATAAAAAGTCAAAAGCATCTAGAATAAAGGGAGATAATAAAATAAGTTTCTTTTGTGATTTCATATGAAATAGAAAAAACGAGCCTCTGATTGAGTCTTTATAAATTGAAGGATAATATATTTACAATAGGACTCAAATCAAAAGCATCTAGAATAAAGGGAGATTATAAAAAATGCTGTCCCAAAATTAGAGAACATTGATAAAAGCATAATTTTGAGCGGCATTACTTTGTTTTTTGGTTTAAGTCTGACTATAAGAAAGTGAAGGTATTATAGATAGGCTCTTAGGCATCGATATATATGTAGGTAGTCAACAAGCAATAAACCATAGATAAACTGTTGATGCTATAAAAGCAAAGATGAAAAGCCTGTATGAGATGACTAAGTCATGTACATCAAATACCAATAACTGGATCTGCAAGGTGCAGAAAATCTCTTTGTTGGGATAGTGGGATAACTGCCCATAATAGGAGGGTATATCCCATGAAATCCACTGCCTTAGGCAGTTTATTTTCTTATCATGAAACTGCCTTAGCCAGTTTCCATTAAAACTGAAAAATGCCACCCATATCTCCTATCAAAAGTATTTGGCCATTTAACAAGAGAAGAAAAAAAAGGTTTCTCACAAAAAAATAATAATAATAATAAGAGAGTGAAAAGGAGAAAGAGCAATCGGGCAGGGATTGTAAAACTCTCAAGAGGAATTCTTGCTTCAGTGCATTGAAGGACTTACACTCTGGAAAAGAACAATTTCCGTATTGTGATCTGGCTCAACAACCAGTAATTCAAGTCAAGCTTTCACTTTCGCTTCCACTTCCACTAAACAAGTATATATCTATGATTATGTTCGTATATATCACGCATGTATTTATCTTTCACTCTTTTATGGCCTTCAACTTGACAAGAGCCCTACATAGTGTTGGGCAAAATATTTTATTCAGATGATCCGGAAAAAGGATAAATCAATTTACACAGATAATAACTGAAGATAAGTGTATAGAAGCAGGAGCAATGCTAATCAGAAAGCATTTCATGCCGTATGGTAACCAAAAATATTTTATGCCGTATGGTAATCAAAAGTTTAAAGCATCAAATATACAATAAAAAAAGATACATAATATATATTTATAAAAGAAGAGTAACTTTATAAAAGTTCATACTATTATACCTCATCAAGAGAAATAGTGCCAAGCGTAGGCCCCATATTACTACAAGCAAAGTTAAGACTACCTGAAAAGCAGAGCTGCAAAATCACTCATAGCAAAAATATGTCGACAGAACATTATTCCAGGCTGAAAGAGATACATAAGTATCAAATCATCAAGATTCTCAGCTGTCACTTAGGACATACAAAATTGGTGGTCTCTAGGAGACATAAAATAACATAAGTTTTTTCCCTTTTTCATTTTTTCTACAAAAGAAACAAAAAAAAATGGAAAGGAAAATGTTAAGAAATCTCTGTACCACTTAATATCAAAAAGCTTGAACCTAGCTCATCTCATTAGAGTTCTGCTTAGGGTTACTTCCACCAGTGAATATGCAAACAATTTAATGCAAAGTGTGTCTGTATGAAAATCAAGTTGAACGAGTTAAATTGTAAGAACCACATAACCCTCAACAGACCCTCTAAGATGACTCAAAAGCTTCAGCTAAAGCATCATAACTACTGTCATAAAAAATTTATTAAAGAGGAATCTAAAAACCTGCAAAATACACATATTAAGAAAGCATCAAAATATGATATACACGGAAAACTTTAAATTTGAAATTGCCAACATAGAGGTAAGGACCGTAGAGTTTACATATCTCTATATTAAACACACCTTCCATCTGGAGTGAGGAAATGTAATCCATTCAAAAAGCAAATGTAGGGTTCTAACCTAGAAAAGGAAAGTGTTGTGGGCATCGAGGTAAAAGAAGTTTGACAGGAACAAAAAGTTAGGCAAAAAAGACTGAATACAAACAAGGATTTTGATAATGATATTAAAGCAGATTTAAACTGCCAGCAGTGGAGCATTCCACCAAAGTACATAAGTGACAGCAAGTTTTATCTTTTTTCCCTTTACATTTGATTAAAGGGTGAATGCTCCACCCAATTGATTTTTCCCACTCTATGCATTTGATTTTTTTTTTTTTTAACTGAGTCATTAGAGGCAATTTCCTAGAAAAGGAAAAAATCAATTCAACCAAATCAATTTATGAAATGCAGCCGATAGCTTAGATAGAAATTGTAGGCAGGAAAAAAGACCAGCACTATCTTAAAATAAGATATGCATCCCCAAGAAGAAACTCTTATCAGCTTAAGTCTTATAAACACGAGTGTTGAACTATGATCATTACTAACAATATTAGAAGAGCTAGAGCATGCTAAATATTAACAAAAAAATCAACCAAAATTAGAAATGAACTAAATTGAAAGATCAACAGCTTTTAAAAGAGCTTGTAACACCAAACCAACAATGTTTCAGTAAAATTCATATAAGAATCATAATCCTACCAAAGATTCACTAAATATATATATATATATATATATATATATATTTAATGCAAACATTTTCGCAGTCAACGATTTCAGAGATACTATAAAAGTTTCTTTGTCAATGTAATTTCATCTATGGAAATTCTCAATTACCTGTCGAAAATGCCATGACCCTTTAATTACCAGAGTCAACACAGCAATTATAATGAAATTCGTGCTTCCTGAGTAAAAAACAAAATGATATTTTTACCTAAATTGTAAAAGGTAATTGGACAAAAGTAACTCCTATCTAATGTTAGCGACCAATGAATCCACAAAACTATTTTATGCATTTGAAGAATTCTATGAATTGATGTATTGGCCTTTCCCAAAGATTTGAACTTTCGAAGCTTAGCTCTAATAAACAGTTAAAAAGAACGATTAAAGAAGCTAAATGCATGGATTAGATACCTGCAAAGTCAGTGACTTTATCAAACTTTAGAAGAGCAGTGATTATAAAGAAAAAAAGCTGATATCCCACCTACATAAAACACCAAAATAAATCAGAGGATCAATTCTAGAGAGAAAAAAAAGAAAAAAAAAAAAAAGGAAACAAAAACAAGAGAAAGAGAAAAAGAAAATAAAAGCTTACAGTTACAACGGCAGTTAGAGCTAAGAAATGGGAGTCTATAACAGTTCCCATACTGTTTGATGATTTATTATGCTGGGTTTTTTCTGTTTGCTTAAAGATGGGTTATTCTTTTTGGATTTTGCTGTTTGTGGTTTTAACAAAGACTAAGAGAATGGGTCGGTTTGCTTCGCTTTCCGATTGTCGAAGATGACTGATGCCTGGCCATTGGCCACTTTGGCCATTCGTGTGTGTGTGGCTGTGAATTGAACAGCATTGCTTATTGAATTTAAATTTTGAATAATATCCCAGTTGAAAATACATTAGCAAAAGCTTGCAATTAGTTGAATTTCTAATAATTTCTCTTTCCCACAACCCACGCCATCAAAAATTTTTCAGACCGCAATTTAAACACAAGTTTTTTTTTTTTTTTAATTTTAATTTTTAATATATTTTGATGTCAACCTTTACTATTACTTAATTCATCTGAATAAAGTGTTATGTGTCTGCATTCAGTCTCTAAAGTATTATGTTGGCCAAAGCTCAAATTTATTTATTATTTTCTGTTTACTTTAAAATCACTTGAACTTGACAAAACCTAATCAAATTCAAAAAACTTTGGAGATCAAATTGGATTGATTGAAAAAAAAAATGAACCATAGGATATTACAGTTGATTATTAATTCATTAGATTTGTAGGTAAATCAAAATAAATGTAAAATTTATAATCTGTTATCTCATGATATTAAAGATTTCCATAAGAGTTTGACAATAAAAGAAAAAAAAATACAATATTTACAATTACGAATTCTACTCCCATTAAAAATTAGGAATATCTCATGATATTAAAAGGCCCTCTTTAAAAGTTTAATTCAATTCGCAATTTAATAAGTAAAACAATAATTACAAATAAATATAATTTTAATTTTAATTAACAAATTAAGAAAAAAAATACTTGCTAATATACTTCGCATAATCACACACTTTCGTACTTCTTGTACTGAGAAAGTATCCTTTTGATTTGTTTTTTCTTCAATTGTGTTTGGGTTTCCAATAAGAAAGGGAAAAAAAAAGTAAAGTAATGGATTAAATAATAAATCTAAGTTTAACAAAAGAATGTGTCTTTTTATTAACGGTTTAAATTTTCATGAAAAAATATAAATTTTAATATAAATTTCATCTTAATTACATATAAAATATGTTATACTTAAGGTAATTATTAAATTAATATATTAAATAATACATCTATTAATATAAAATAACTAGAACCCACTCACTATGCTGATATTGTTTTTAAAATGAGATTTAGAAGAATAATATACGAAAAATATTTACTTTTTATTTAGTGAAAAGACACAAATATATTTAATTTTATATTTGTTAAAATACTTTTATTTGATTTTTTTATTTTTATTAACTTTCTTTCACTTAATGACTTGGCTCATGACACCAAATTACCAACTCAGTAAAAAATTTATTATAGTATATATAAATAAATTATACGATTATATATTATTTTACAAGATATAAAATTGAATCTTAAATTTAGCTTAATTAATTAATGTAGTCATATTTAACTAATCTCAGTATTTACACTTATTTTTAGATTGTGATTTTTTATGTACAAAAAAATTATCAGATAAGATATACTTATATATGTGCTTATGTAGACAATTTTATTCTAATGAGACATAAAATAATTTTTTAATTTATTTATATTTTAAAATTAAAATTTAAAATAAATCAAATATTTAATTTTAAAATTTGAAAATGTTTAAAATTTTATAAATTATTAAAGTTAAAAATGATGAAAGATAAAATTGGTTAAGAAATTTATAATATATAACTTAATATTAAAATTGAGTTATGACAAAATTTTTATTGTACTAGAAGGATGCTCGAGTTTCACTCTGAGTCTATTATTAACATTTAATTAAATTAACTTGTAAAAATGTGAGAACGTTTAAAAATGATAATGAAATAAAATAAAAGCATTGAACAATTAAAATAATATGAAACAACTTTGTTTACCTATAATGAATGTACGAGGAAGGCATGCAACAATAGAAGCTTTTAATGGCTTTTTACCTTGGCAAAAAACTCTAAAATCTTGCAAACAATGGGACAGCAACTGCAATCCTCAACTAAGTAAACAACAACCATATTTAAAGGTTAGACAAATGATAGTATGGCAAAAAATAGACCTCTCAATGCAAACCAAGGCAAAGATGAAATAGATAGGTAGCTTTTATGAGCTATATAGTTAAAAGGCAACTAAGTAATTAGCTTAAAAGATACATCAGTAACAAAAAATTACTTTGCACTGTTGGCTTTCCATTTGTCAATATCCAAGGCATCCATGCTAACATATAAGAATGTAAATGTTTCTGCAATTATTGAGATTGTGGAAAAGGCATGCTTGAAATTATTAACCAGTATAAAGACTGGGAATTAAAATATGTCAAAAGGAAATTCATCAAAATCATCCATTGTTAAGCATGGAATTAATATCTATTTATAGCTTACTTTGTTGTTATCCTCGAGCTTTACGTAACATTATGCTGTGTAGTGTAACATGACAATGCCGCAAAGAAAATTGTCAAAATCCCATTTAAACTCAGTAATTGCAAGAAAAAAAGTAAGTTTATTACATCTAACAAATGCAGTGCCCAAGTCATGATTTTCCAGTGACAATTTAATTTGTTATTTTTTCTTTTTACAAATGAAGAAAAAAAAGAAATGGAATTAAAAAATATTTTTTAAATTCTCTTATTGTACCTCAACCAACAAATATGACAAATAAGCCATGATCATTATAAGAGCAACTTCTCGATCTATTGAATGCCTATATTTTTAAGAATATAAAGCCATTGCTCATGAATTGGCTTGAAGAAATATTAGTAACAAATGCATCAACAAACGATTGAAAAATCATATTGAAAAATTCAATCCATGCTTAGCACATTTAAGTTACATTAAACCCAAAACCCCATTTCAAAAAAACTTACCATCGACAAACTTATTTATAAAAACCTAATTCTCGAATCACTTTAAAAACCACCATATTTCAATCAAACTATGAACACAAACATCTCAATATGAAATAGTACAACACATTCAACAAAACATCATAATAGACAAAATAGACTGCTCAGAGTACCTAAATTAGAAAATGAAAGCCCTAAAAAAAAAAACATCCAAATAGGAAAATAAGCTTACCAATCCTCCTTGTGTTTATTTAATTTACATTTGATTTTTATTTGCTTTTCAGAATGCATGCCTGCACTACATCGTGGGAATAAGAATAATGATAATTTAAAAATATATGTAATATATTCAAAATAAACAAAATAATGAATGCTAATTTACATTTTTTTATCTAATGTATATGACTTTTAACTGTTTTTCTTTATAACACTATAAGTTGTAATATATATATATATATACACACATATACATATATATATATTAGTCTGTAATGACATTAACATTTGAGGAGTTCCAATACATTGAGAATCTAATGAAAAAATTTGTATTGATAGATACAACAAAATCAAGTATAAATAGAGGCATATGATAGACCACACAAACAAAAACAAACATAACCATACCTTTTCACTTAATTTTACTTAATTTAGATTTTCTTCCATTTTAAGCTTAAAACTTTAAGCACTTCGATAAACCTTATAGATATATTGAAAAATATTATGCCAAAATGAGGTTCAGAAAAGTCATTGATTGTCATAAAGTTACTACACAATGATAAAAAATAATGGAATACAAATTAAAATACATTTGTTGCCCACAAAGATCTTTTTTCAGCATTTTGCAATCTATCAAGTAACCTTAAAAGAATTAAAAGCTCAAAAAATAAATATAAAAAAATTAATGACATCATTAATAACGTTTTTTTTTTTACAATAATGCGCCAATAAAAACTTACCATTGGAACTTCTTCAAGCTTTTTATCTATTAGAATGGCATGAACCAGCATACTTAATGAACCATAGTTGGCTTGTTTGTACAATAAAAAAACTCATTGTATTCATTTTCACTATTCAAGTAGAATACGAAAACCAGTGAATACTTTAAATAATTAAAGCTTTCCAACCATTTTATTAGGGTTAATTTCATTGGAGTGACATTGGATAATTTCTCCTTTGTGGATGAGGTCATTTGCAAGGAATTCACTAAAGGCTTTAAATTTTTTCTCACAACTGACTTTCCCAACGAGGTGGTGGCAGAATGTTATATTTTCACCAAAATTTCACACTCCATTTCCACCTATAAGCATCCATTTGTTATAGGACTTAAGCGTTATAACACAATTCACCACCCTTGCATATTTGTCTTCCTAAAGAATTTTAACCAAATTAAAAAAAATCAATAAATAAATTACTTAACAAAATCTATTTCTTTGGAACCAAAAGAATTGCAAAAATAGATGTGAAAAAATAAAATTACTTTGAAAACATACTTGTTTTAGATCATATGCCTCACAAGTAGAAAGCCTCAATTCTTGCCCAACTACCAAGAAATTCCTTACATTTTCAAATTACTGAAAATGTTGACAAAGTAGCTCTATCAAATATAAGAGCTGCATCACATAAATTTTTCACCACCTAAAATCCAAAAACCCAAATGAAATAAACCATAATTAAAAAATAATAATTTAAAAAATCAAAATAAGAAAAAAGGCTTCACCTTAGGAGTAGCTCTAAGTTGAACTTTATTAAGAACATTACAGAGCATTATTCCATTCCTCAAACCAAGCCTAAATTCTTCCTTTGATTTTTTATGTCTGGAAAGAGATTGAAATCTCCTTCGACCCTTAAACCCTTTTTTAATCAAAACCTTCCCAACTCTTTTATTCAATCGCCTTTATCCACCCATAAAACTCACGTTTCAACCCAACCAAAAATCATTTCCTTTTCTTTCTCATATTTTTTCATTTCATATGGTGATTACTTTGGTCTATAGAAAGTTCGAGAATCTTCAATTAAATCTCTCTCCATTTTCAACAACAGTAAAAATAACAAAAAGGGAAGGGAAGAGAAGGTTTTGGAGCTTTAGCTTTTTTTTTCCCAAAATTTTCCTTCAATTTGTTTCTATTATATTGCTTAAGTGTCCAGCAAATCAGGCTTGAAGATAGTTTTAATATTAAGTTATAGATTATCGAATGCTGCAACTTTAATTAAAAGAAAAATTAGTTTAGATTTATTTTCCATTTGGCAAACTTGGAGGGACTTTGTATTTATGAACAAAGTTTTTTTTTTCATGGATTGGTATTTGACAAATGTGTTTAATGGTATCTTTTTTACTCTTTCTATTTAATAAAGAAAAGGGTATCAAACTAGTCATTTCGAAACTTAAGGTTTTGTAAGAAAGTTCATTAATTCTTGGCAATGTGCAAAAGTCTATGATCTTAGCTTTTTTGGATGAAAGTATATTTTCATATTGTAATCAGTGGTTAGTTTGGTTGTTAAAGTAGTTTGTTTTGTTTTTTTGGATGGAATGGAAATGGCAAAAAAATTGAAGTTTATGTGGTCTAAGCTAACGCTTATAGAAGAGGAGAAGGAAAAAGTTGAAATAGCATACTTGTCAAAAGGAAACGATCCTTCGAAAGAGTTTTGGCTGGTGTAAAAGTTATTAACCATACAAATCTTCAATAGGGAGGCGTTGGTTAACATGTTACGAATGATTTGAAAACTATCCAAAGAAATGATAGTGATTATCCTTGAAATAAATTTGTTTGTATTTAAATTTGGGATAAAAATGACAAACGCAGAGTTCTTGAAGTATCCCCATGGACTTTCAAAAAGAATCTCATCATGTTTAAAAAGTACAATGAGGACCTGCGACTAATGGACTATATTTTTTACAAGGTAAAATTTTGGGTAAGGGTTTATAAATTGGCATTGAAATTGTTGAAAAGGGATATGGCAAAAAGGATTGGTAAGAAGATAGATATTATGAAGCCTATAAGAAAATTCATCTCAATTGTAGGGAAAAATGAAAATGATGGAATATGAGAAAAGTTGAAGTATGAAAGGTTACTAAATTTTTGTTATGTATATGAAAGGTTAGGTCATACTGATATGAAGTGTGATCATGCAACAAATAAAGAGAATGATGGTAAAAAGCAAGTAATATAGAGATTGGTTGAAGGCTTCTATAACAAAAAGAGAAAATTTTTTAACAAAAGAGAGAAAGATACACTTAGAGCAATGATAAAACAATAACAAAAGGGAGAAAGGCTATATAGGAATTAAAAGACAAGCCAACAGGGATGGAAGGAATAAAAGCTTAACAAATTAGAAAAAAAAAGAGTTGTTGAAAAATGTGATAGAGAAAAAAGAAGAAATATTTCAAGAAATTAATCAATACATGAACGACAATATGGGCATTGAAAAGATAAGTGAAAGAGAATTAAGAGATAGGAGAAATAATCAAGGGATTATGACAGAGTAATTTAAAAGAAGAAAAATGAGATCAACTATTTATGAGCCAATTTTGCAAAATGAAAAAACAACAGATCCACATAGATCAGATTGCATAAAGAATAGAAACAATGAGAGTGCTAATAATAATGCTAGGAAAATGAAATTCAATAATGAATATATTGCTGAAATGGCATATGACATAGAAACCAACCAAAACAATGGGACAAGTAATGCTCACGTTGGAAACAAGAATAGAAAAAACATTTGGAAAAACAAAGCACGTGCGGTGTGTAATAATATGGCAGTAGGTTTGAGCAGTGCTGGGTAAAGAAAACTAGAATATGGAAAAGTTGAAGAAATGGAGATTGATATACAATTGAAGAAATGTAAAGAAGATGGAAAGGTAGTTAGGAAACTAGTCAGAGAATGACGATGATTGAGATTCAGTCCCATTAAAAAGATTGAGATGTATAGCTCGAAACTGCTATAAACTTGGGAACCCACGTGTAATTCATGTTCTTTATAAGCTAGTGAAGATTAAAACTCCTCATGTAGTGTTTTTAATTGAGACAAAACCACATGAAAAAACTAAGCAGAATAAAAAAATAAGTGTAAAACACAATGATGTATTAGGCTGAGTTCTTAAGGAAACAGTGGAGGTTTAGTATTGTCTTGAAAAAATGATGTAAAGATAAACTTAAGAAATTTTTCAGAAAGACATATTGATATGGAGATTAAAGGAGAATCAAATGTGGGCCTATAGAAACTAAACAGATTTTATAGTGAATCAGACGTTAGGGATTGAAATAAATCATAAGAGGTATTATGAGAACTCATTGGGCATAAAAAAAAGTTTTGGCTATGTATTAAGGACTTCAATGAGTTAACATGGAATAACGAAAAATCGGAGAACAATATAAGAAAAGAGAGCCAAATGAATGCTTTTAAAGAAGTAGTAGATGATTATGGTTTAGAAGATTTAGGATACATAGGATAATGGTTCACATGAGAAAGAGCGAGCACGTAGGAAACAAATGTTAGGGAATGACTAGATTGAGGATTGAGGAATAAAGAATGGTGTAATCAATTTCTAGAATTTGAAATCCAACACCTAATAACATCAGTCTCGAATCATTGTCCCATAATGGAAACACTTCAAGGAATAAAGAGAAAAAGAAAAAATTATTTTAAAAAAGAAGGTAAAAATTTGAAGCCATATGAACAAAGGAAGCAAATTGTAAACAAATAATGGAGGAAACCTGAGGTGAAATTGAACAGAATTTAGTACAAAAGCAATAAAAAAAGTGGGGAAGATGCTATAGGCTTGGCATAGGTCCATATTCTATGTAACAAAAGAAAAGATAGGCCAGCTTAAAAAAGATCTTAAAAAAAGCCTTGCAATGGTCCCTACAAATAAAGTACTTAATTAGGTGAAAAACATAAGGAATAAACTAAACTATAATTTAAAAATAGAGGAAACCTATTGGAAACAATGTTAAAAATGTAATGGCTTCAGGAAGATAGTAGAAATACAAGGCATTTTCATGCACAAGCTTTGATGAGGAAAATGAATAATGGGATAAGGGTTTTGAAGGATGAAAATAGGGTTTATAGTTATTTCTTTCCAAAAAATTTTTAAGATATGAAGATGTTCTAAAGGCTGTTGATCCTTGTATCACTAATGAGATGAATAAGATGCTCTTTATATAGTTCAAAGTTGAAGAGATTCACCAAGCCATCAAACAAATAAATTTAACAAAGTCATTATGACATGATAGTATACCTATTTTGTTTTTCAAAATTTTGGCATATTGTTGGTAATGTTGTAACCAATTTTTGCTTATTTTGTCTAAAGGGTGATAGAGAGAATAGGGAGATAAACCACACACATAATATGCTCATACCAAAAACTAAAAACCTAACGAACTTTACATAGTTTAGACCCATAAGTCTATACAATGTCATACACAACATTATTTTAAAAGCCTTAGTTAATAGGCTTAAAAGAATACTTCCTTTTATGTATTGTGAGATGCAAAAAGCATTTGTTCCGAGTAAATTTAGCTTTGACAATATTCTTGTAGTCTATGAATTAATACACCATTTAAAAACAAAAAGATAAGGCAATAGAAGGTCTTTTGCACTTAAATTAGATATGAGTAAGGCATATGATAGAGTAGAGTGGAATTTTCTTGAGGCTATAATGGGTAGATTAGGTTTTTATTTTGAGTGGATTACCAAGATCATGAATGGTGTGTCATCTGTCTCATACTCAGTTGTTGTTAATGGTGATATTACTAACGAGTTTTCCCCAAAAAGAGGATTTCGCCAAAGAGATCCTCTTTCACCATATTTGCTCCTGTTTTGCACAAAAGAGCTCTCAATATTATCAAAGAAAAATCAAATGTAGGGCTATTACATGGTGTTCAAGCGAGTCGAAAAGTACCTTGAGTTAATTATCTATTCTTTGCTGATGGTAGTTTTCTTTTTGCTATGACAAACAAAAGCAAGAGTGAGAGGATGATGTATAAGCTAAAGCAATATAAAGAAAGCTCAGGTCAAAAGATAAATCTGGACAAATTGGCCATATTTTTGGTACCAACATTGTGAACAAACAAAGGGAGCGAATAAAGAATTTTTTCAAGGTCCAAGAAACAAAAAATCTGGACATATATTTGGGATTGCCCACAATGGTTGGGAGAAACAAAAAGAGTGTTTAGAGAATTAAAGATTGCATGAAATCCAAAATGAATGGGAAAAGCCAAAACATGTTGTCCTTGGGGGGAAAGGAAATCTTTATAAAATCCATTTTTCAATCCATTCCAACTTATGCAATAAGCTGTTTTCTCCTACCAAAGGCGCGCTATGTGATGAACTAAACAGCTTGCCAAGCAATTATTGGTGGAGATATGAAAAGGAAAAAAATGGGAATTCACTGGCAAAACTAGACAAAGATGTGTTGGGATAAAAAATATAGAGGGATAGGATTTAGAAAAATGTGAAGCTTTAACAAAGCTATGCTTGCTAAACAAGGATGGTGAATTCTTGCCAACCCTAACATGCTAGCACACAAGGTCCTTCAAGTTAAGTATTTCCCACATGGATCTTTTCTTGATACTGATGTAAGAGCCTACCCATCACTAACGTGGGAGAGTATATCGACAACTAAAGCAGTTATGCTAAACAGATTAAAATGGCCCATTGGAAATGGAAAATCCTTGCATATGGATGGATAAATGGCTCTCTTTCAATACAGATTTCAAGCTGCAGTCACTGACGAACAATAACGACGTAAATGGGTTAGTGGCTGACTTGATTGATAAACAGACTTGAGCATGAAAGTGGGTCTTAGTTCATGCGATGTTCACACAATACAAAGCAGATGCTATAAATGGGGTACCTTTGAGCGACATAGATAAACTAGTTTGTTTGGTCTAACACTTTGATAACAAAGGTCTCTACACAGTGAAGAATGGATATAAATTACTAAACAGGCAAGCCATGGAGAATGACTCAAGTGAGAAAACAAACGAAGAAAGAGAGAGAGGGTAGAATGTCTGGATAAAGATTTGGGCAACTAATGCACCATAAAAAATCAAAATAATGATGTGAAAGGTGAACAAAAGCTTTCTACCAGTAAGGTTGAACTTGGCAAAGAGACATTCCAGTGGTAAGCACGTGCATGAGATGTGGAAATGAGGAGGAAACAGTGATCCATGCAGTAAAGGGCTGTTGTTGGGCAACCAAAGTATGGGAAAATCTCAATGTCCAGTGAGAAGAGGAAGATGATCAGCAGAATGAGCCATTACTTTGGTGTGCAAGGGTCATGGAAAAAATCACAGCAAAACAGAATGCAAATGCTCATGATTTGTACATGGACAATCTGGAATGATAGGCAATGAATATCATGGATAACAAAGAAGAGATCCAATGGTATTTGCTACTTTTGTAAGAAGTTATATTGAAGAGCTTAACAGAGTTCGACAGTAGCATGTTAACGCTAATGAAGAATGGGAAAGCAAATGGAAACCACCAGAAAATTACTTCTCAAAAATCAATTTTGATGGGGCAGTTGACACAAAAAAGAAACATGGAAGGATAGGGGAACTGATCAGAGATTATGAAGGTAAAGTCTTGGGAGCTTACTGTGATAAACTGTCTGGGGTGACAAACCCTTTCACTGCTAAAGATTATGCAACTATAAGGACGTCGAAATTTGCAAAAGATATGGAAATCCATGACATCATTTTAGAAGGTGACTCACTGATGGTAATTAAACAAATGAAAAATTGGAATTGGGATCTGTCTCTTATAGGAAACTTGATAAAGGCTGAGTTTAATGAGTACAGTGTGCAACATATCAAACGAGAAGGAAATGCAGCTATCCATAAGCTAGCAAAGGATGGATTTTCGATCACTGAAAGAAAGTATTAGATGGAAGAATATCATGTTCTTTTACAATCTCTTGTAGAAGATGATGCGAGGACTAGTAACGAATGAATGAAAGCTTCATTTTCAAAAAAAAAAAAAGTATCTTTTCCCTAGGTAGTTAAAAAAAAACTTTAACTTAAACTGAAAATTTTTCTATGCTTTGATGGACAATTTAGGGTGGCATTAGTTCCCCTGTTTTTCGAAGAGGATGAGCTTGAGTTTTCGACCCAAATTTCTTATGCTAAATAACCAAACCATATTGTTTAGGGGTGAGTATAAGAAAAGCAAAAATAAATAAATAAATAAAAAGTAAATTGTGTCAAGCATAATCGGACTCAATCTGCTTGAAACCAGGCCCAATATAATTTTTTTAGTCTATATGTTTGTGAGGTATATTTCAAGTTTTTTGTTTTTTAGTATAAAATTTATAAAAACTATATCTTTGTTAAATAATAATAAAAAAATTATGAATGAATTAAATTTATTAATTACTTTAAAAATAATTTAAAATTGAAGGTAAAAATAAAAAACTAAATAAAATAATTAATTGAATACATAGATCATATTAATTTTAATTTAAAAAATCCATATTTTTAAAATAATTACCTTGATTTTATTATTACTACTATTACATATTATTAGTTAAAAATTAATATTTTTTATAAATGATTAGAAAAAAAAAAAAAACCAAAGTGGGGGCAATGCTCTTGTTACTATTATTTGAGTCATTAAATTTGGTTTGTTTTATAAGTTATTAACTTCAAAATCATGAATATTTTATCTCTATTAATATATATATGTATTACAAAATGCAAAATTATCGAATAAAATATGCTTATTTGTACGCATATATGGACAGTGTCACGTAAGATAAGTTTTAAATTCATTTATATTTTAAAATTTGAATTCAAAATATGTCAAATTTTTATAGTTAAAATTAAAAAATATTTATAAATTTATAAATTATCAAATTTAAAATGGATAAAGATAAAATATTTTTGAAATTAATATTAATTTAAAATTATTTTAGCAATTAAATTTAATTGGTTTATAATCTTGTTAACTTCATAATCATGCATATAATTTTTATCTCTATAAATTTAATTACAATTGTTATTATTAAATTTTTTTTACAATAAATAATAAATATTTTATTTTATTTTCATAAATCATTGTATCCTTTTTAAGATCAATTTTTATCATTCAATAGCTAACCACATGAATAAATTTCAATTAAATTATTAGAGTTTCTTGACTTGTTGGCAAAAAACAAATTTGTTAAATGAATATCAAAGTTACTTAGTTATGCTAATTTAAATTAAAAAAATTAAATTGCTACATTACAATAAATTTACTAAATTTTAAATTATTTAAATAACAAAGGATGTGTTTGATGTATAAAATTATGATAGGATAGGATAAGATAATATTATGATTAGATGAAATAATATCATTATATCTTATGTATGATATATATATATATATATATAAGGATTAGGATAAAATAATTTATTTATTGATCAAAATTATTCTTTTTGAAAATTTATATAATTTAAATTATTAATGTAATTTTTAAAGGTATAATCACATAGATTAAAAATAATCTTCTCCACTTTGGGAGAATTAAATCATCTTATACTAAGAGGATGATTAATCTTCCTCACCATCATATACTTTTCATTAGATACAAATCAAATATAATATAAAATTATTATCATCCTATCCTAACCATTATTATATGTCAAATATGGCCTAAAGAGTATGTTTGGTGCATAAGATTATGATAGGATAGGATAATATGGTATTATGATTAGCATTAAATTAACCAATTACATATTATCTTATGTTTGATATATGAAAAAATTAAGATAAGATAATTTACTTATTAGTCAAAATTATTCTCTCTCAAAGTTTATATAATTTAAATTATTAACGTAATTTTTAAGGGTATAATAAGATATATAAGTTCAATTCCATGAATTAAAAATAATTCTCTTTACTTTAAGAGGATTGGATCATTTAATGCTAAGATGATAATTAATTCTCTTTACAATCCTATCTCTTTCTTTAGATGTAAATTAAATATAACATAAAATAATTATTATTCTATCATATCCATCATTTTATATATCTAATATAACCAAAGTCCCTAGCATGGATGTTATCAAACTATATATATATATGTGTGTGTGTGTGTGTGTGTGTGTGTGTATTATAATTAGATTTGTTCATAAACTAAGTTGGGTTTCGATTGAGCCTATATCCGGTTGAGCTTAATCCAATTTGACTCTTCTGAGTTTGATTTTTGTTCAAATCTGTTATTACATATAAATAGGAAGCCATCGTCTGCTAAAACCTATCCAAAGCACTATCATTTTTAAAAAATAATAAATAATAAAAATAAAGATTTAATGCACATCACTTAATGATTAATGAGTAAATGGCATTGCATTAAGAAAATTACATTCATACAGCACATTACAATACATGTTTAGTTTTCAAATTTTAAATAAAGTGTAAAAAACAGATGATAGCTGAAAAGTAGATTAAATAATTGACTTGGGTGGGGTTTAATAGAGTATCTCTCGTGAAGAGTTTGTTAAAGTTGGATTCATTATCTCTGGTGATAATAGAAAGATTACGTTAAAGGCCTTATTATATATGTAGGGCATCTGGATGAATGTAATTTAACATCCGCTTAATGGATCGATATTAAATTAGGATTTTTATGACTTTTATTATGAAAACTTATTATTAGAATTATCTTATAACTTTTTAGTATTATGCTTTTGGTGGCATGGATGTATTAATTTGTGATCATTAAAACCTTAAATTAGTATTTTATTTTAGTTTTGTTTTATGTTAATTTAGCTCAAGGATAGTAAGCTTTTATGTTTTGAAGTTAAAACTAGGAAGATTCCTGCTTAGCGATCATCTTTTCTTGTTACAACATTAAATATTTTAAACATTTGAATTTAAAGGGATTGAGATCCATCTTTTTTCAGCTTTATTACCATGAAAAAAGATCGATTCCTTTCGGTAAAAATCAATCTCTTTTAATTTTACAATGAAAGAAATTAAGTATTTTGTGTGAAAAAAGGAACTCTTTTTACCTTAATTTAAGAATTTTTTAGTTAAATATAAGATTTCAATGTAGCATCCTTTGTCTGCTATTTTTTTCCCTTTTAATCCTCTTTTAGTTTTTTTTTTCAAATTTCTTCATTTACCATTTTTTACTTTTTTTTTTATTTTTTTATTTTTTAGATTAATTTTATTAAAAAATGGACCAATTAAGATATACACAATTTATACCTATTTGTTTTTTGTTCTCTTTTCTTTTCTTTTTTAATTTGATAATTTTTTGCAACAAAAAAAGATAAATAAATGTGTTAAAACAAAAAAAAATATTATTAAATAATTTAAAATATAATATAATAATACAACATAAAAATAACATAAAAAAACATGAAAATGACATAAATTAATCAAATATTTAGTTTCACATTTAGGTATCTAAGACTAATACTAAAAATTTATTTTTCTAGGCCGCAACGGATCTCAGTTTATTTCTTTTTCTCTCTTTGCCCGTTGGTCTCTTCCTCTTTTTCTTCGCCGCTTCTCGTAAAACCAAAAAACACGAATAGGTAAGTGCCCTTTCCTTTAATTTTGCTTTTTTAGATCTTGTTTTCCTTTCACTTAATTATAATTATCTTCAATTTAATTCCTTTTAATCGAATCGCACCAAATTTAGCTCCACTCTCTTTCGATCCGTTTCTCCACTGATTTTACATTTTAACGTTGTTCAATTTTTCTTTATGTTTAATTTTCTTATTTTTACTTAATATTGATCTATTCTTAATATAAGAAGTGTCTACCTTTTTCTTTTTTTTTATTTTCTTTGTAAGAGATGTTGCCTTCGGTATTTGGAATCTGTTTGTCAACTGAGAAAATGAAAGAAAATGAATACAAAAGGAATTTTAATGCTAAATTGTAATTGTGTTTGAACCATTTCTGACCATTGAAGTTTCATGATCTGTAGCTTAATTTTTGACTTTAGCTTAACCAAACATGGTTAGCTCTCTAAATGGAAAAATAAAGCTTTTACTTTTGTAATTCTAGAATGACCTGATTAGGACTTATTGGTAAATTATGCATTCCAATTCTGATTAAGATTAATGGTGTGTTTTTTGAACAAAAAAAAAAATGCCGCAAAATTTTATGGAATCCGTGATTCAATTGATTTCAAGTGTAGCCAAACTATGAAATTAAAATGAGTTTGAAAAAGAATTTTGTGGAAATGATTTCTTCTAAATAAATATGCGATAAGGCAATTTTGTTGGCAATTGTTAAAGTTTGCAATTTTGTTTACTGGGGGTGCTGCTTGGTTGTTACTTCTACTACTTTGGCTTCTAGAAATTAAAAAAAAAAAAAAAGGAGTGTTTAGATGCAAATGGAAACAATATTTTTGAAGAATTAAAAATAAAAAAAATGTACCTTTGATGGAGTACAAAATGCATGATCACTTGTATGTAGAACTACTAAATTAGTCATTTATTCATTTTTAATCAATTTAATATTTCTTTCTACTATTTGTTTTTGCTTTAAAACTTGAAGAAAATAGTAAAATGCCAGTATCAAAATAACAATCAAGTGAAGCCCAGCATTTTTAACTAATATTCAAGCTTCTGAATTTTTTTGCTAGAGTCATGGAGAAAACAAAGCCTGACATGTTTAACTGATTTTCAAGCTTCTAGACTATTTTGCTAGAGTTGTTGAGAGTGAAAATTTTGGTCTTTTTCTAATTTTGCATTTTCTGCCTGGCAAATTTATTTTTCTTTCTTGACAGAGCTACAAAATGGGTATGGCAGAAAGCAATCGTGATATGGAGGAGGGAACGCTGGAGATTGGAATGGGTAAACTGTCTTGCTTTGTTATAAGCAATTTTAATTTGCCCATGTAGTTATGTTCGAATGGATTCATGTTTTTGCTATGAATTGAATGTTCTGTTTAATCATGAGGGATAAATTGTTGATAACATTCTGGTTAAACTGCCACATTCATTGCAACAAGCAGGATTTGTTGCATGAAGAAACTGTAATAGTTAAAAGAATAATTATCTTTCTTTTCTTGAGTTCATTGCAGAATATAGAACTGTTTCTGGGGTTGCTGGGCCATTAGTAATCCTCGATAAAGTGAAGGCAAGTTCTGTTTTTCTCACTCATTATCTATTATCATTCTCAAGCCTTTTTAATTTTGATTTCATCTGTTCATTATTTGAGGGTTCATGCTTTCTCCAGGGACCCAAGTATCAAGAAATTGTTAATATTCGTTTAGGGGATGGAACAACCAGACGTGGTCAAGTCCTAGAAGTTGATGGAGAAAAAGCTGTTGTTCAGGTAATTTCTATCTTAAATTCTCTAGCATTTCTTTGTAACTATGAATTCCTATTTTGTGCACTGTTACTCATGCCAAAAGGAAAAATTTCAACTTGTTCACTATGCAATATATTAAGCTTATATTTATGGTGTGAGGTTTGATGCTTTAGTCTGGTGCTGCAATTTCACTATGGATGCATTTATGCTTTGTATGCTCTACTTATGTGGCATTCTGGCTAGGTTTTTGAAGGAACATCTGGAATTGACAACAAATATACAACCGTGCAATTTACAGGGGAGGTATGTGACCTCCTCCTTTTCTATTTTTATGTTTAATCCTTATCTTGCATCCCTAAGTTTGATATGAAAAGTAGCTTCCCTTAAAACACACAGCTGGAAAATAACTGAAATAGCTGCTTTTTCTGTCAGGAAATTTTTAATTAAGATAACTGGTTGGCATTATTGGCCTGATTGTGTGGGTTTAGACATTACAAGGCATGTTGACTCATTTTAATTGTTTCTTGAATCTTGAGTTATTTGGTTCTATAACAAACTAGAGGGGAAATAAGTATTGTTGTTACTAGATCTTGTGGATGTATTATGTTGTGTGGTGAGCTAAGACTCTTTTTTGGCTGTTGTTATTGTAATAGTTTATCTTTGAAGGTGTATGTCATCAGCCCCTTTATTGGTCTCTCAAAGCAACTTAATGTTTGCGATTAACTTTAAATTAGAGATTTTGTATATATTTAGATCAGCAATTTATATTTCTGCCTATCACCATGGTTTCCAACCTTCAAAAAGGATGCAATGTAGAGAATATGATGGTTAATAGCTAATAGTGTATTACTTTTTTGGGTTTCTTGGGAATGGTTTGTTTTTCCGGTCCCAGCATTTCTGATTACAAGGTTAAGTTAATGCAATCAAGCTATTAGAGTAGACTTGTTTATGTTTAGTGGTTTATTAGACATAAAAGTCATCAGGCATCGTAACTTATACCAGCCATCCGTATGATAACTTGTTCCTGTGCCCATAGAGAAACAAAACAAGCCACTCTAATATGATGTTGTGTGTGATTTCACTAGTTTTTTTTGGGTTTGTAAATGTTGAATGTGCTTAAATGATAAACAAATGTATTGAGGCAAGCACTTGCACAAAATGGGGGAAAAGAAAAAAGAGAAAGAAAAGGGCAACTGAGTTTTGCATTGTTTTTTGAACTGAGGTTATTATTGCTGTTTACTACTTCTTGATTCTTTTGGATCATTGCTATATTGTGTCTAATGTTGTTAATAATCTCTAGGAAGCATGGTAGCAAGGTAGCAGAAAACTAGAAAGAGCCAGTTTTGAATGCATTTTAGGAAAAGTATTTCACTTTTTGTCCGTGCACTTGCCTGCCTGTTTTGAACTCACTTGCCTATATTCCTTCTTCTGAATATATTTTGTAGGTGTTGAAAACCCCTGTCTCTTTGGATATGCTAGGGCGCATTTTCAATGGCTCTGGCAAGCCAATAGATAATGGTCCACCTATCTTGCCTGAGGCATATTTGGATATTTCGGGTAGGCAGTGTTGTGGAATGAATGATATTTGAACAGTATAAGTTGCTTCTAATCATCAGTTTGTTGGTTGCTGGATTACTTATCCTTCATCTATTACTTTGTAGGGAGTTCTATTAATCCTAGTGAGAGAACCTACCCTGAAGAAATGATACAGACAGGGATTTCAACAATTGATGTTATGAATTCCATTGCAAGAGGGCAAAAAATCCCTCTCTTTTCTGCTGCTGGTCTTCCCCATAATGAAATTGCTGCTCAGATTTGTCGTCAGGCTGGTTTGGTGAAACGATTGGAGAAGTCTGGAGATCTGCTTGAGGTAAAGTTCACATATTAATATTGATTGGCTGGCAGTAATTTGACATCCCTTGATGGTTTAAATAAGTAAGTATGGTAACAGATGTGTATACATGGCTGATTGAGTACTTTCTAAAGGATAGCTTGATTATAAATTTTGCATTTACTTTATTTACTATGTTCAAATTGGATAGTCTTAGATGCTTGCAAAGCATACTTTAGTGGAAGCGATTATATTTGGCAATGTTGCTACTCAATTATGAATTTATGATGAAGTTTAGATTAAAGTGGCAATTTAATTTTCTAATCTGTCATACCTATTTGGCCAAAAAAAAAAAAAAATCTGTCATAACTAGTTGTTTGTACCCTTGGAGTTAACTTGGATATAGATGCATCAAGTAATAAACATCATGTAGTTTGTGTTAGCTGTTATAAGCTACCACCGATATTTTTACTAGTGAAAACGAGAAAGTTTTTCTAGATATGGCTGTTTCTTCCTTCCTTTCACTTTCTTGTTGATTGTTTTGGTTCCTTGCCACTAGGTTCATAGAAGGCTGATTGTTTCACTGACTGGATGATTTTTCAGGATGGCGAAGAAGATAATTTTGCAATTGTGTTCGCGGCTATGGGTGTAAACATGGAGACTGCACAGTTTTTCAAACGTGACTTTGAGGAAAATGGTTCAATGGAGAGAGTGACCCTTTTCCTAAACCTGGTATGTTTCAATTTAAGGTGCAAAGGCTCTATACATTTAATTATTTTGAAAATGAGAAAGTTGACTGGGTGGGTGGAGAGGTTGCATCTATAGCAAAAAAAATATATGTATATAGCGGGCAATTACCTTCTCTGTCTTCTCTACAGGCTAATGACCCCACAATTGAACGTATTATTACTCCTCGTATTGCCCTCACTACTGCAGAATATTTGGCATATGAATGTGGGAAGCATGTTCTTGTGATCCTGACAGACATGAGTTCTTATGCTGATGCTCTCCGTGAGGTAACAAAAAGCAACCATGTCTCATATGCAATCTCTCTTGCGTGCATGACTACTAGCTGTGGAAACAAGAGGTCCATGAACCCATATATGATATTGTTCGCCATCTTTTATGATTCTGGTTGCCCTTGCATTCTGGATATTTATCACATATATTTTTAGAAATTTATTCAGCTCCCAAAAGCTTTTATGTGAATGCTGGACATTTATTGTCTTTAATTATCTTAGATTTCAGAGATTTTATAGAATTTTATGCCATTTATGTGAGACAAACTACTATTACCACTGCAGGTGTCTGCTGCCCGAGAAGAAGTACCTGGAAGACGTGGATATCCTGGGTACATGTATACAGATTTGGCCACAATATATGAGCGTGCTGGACGAATCGAAGGGCGAAAGGGTTCTATCACCCAAATTCCAATTCTTACTATGCCAAATGATGGTAATGCATCTTTTAACTATATCAACATTTTGGACTGCCATACTTGCTTTAATGGTGATTCTTAGCTTCAATCTATTTATCTTTTTGGGCAGATATTACACATCCCACTCCAGATCTTACTGGATATATCACAGAGGGGCAAATATACATTGACAGGCAGCTCCATAATAGACAGGTAACGTCAAAACTAGTTTGTACAAGCCTTCAACTTGTGTATCTGGGAGATATGCAGCCTCACAAATTATCACCGTGATTCTCATCAATTTATTCATGGAATGTCATTTTTAATATGGTGTTTTATATAGGAACTGTATCTTCATCCTTGCATTGCTTTAATAAATTTTTCATGGTGACTTGGGTTGAATGTGGTTCATCATGGTGTGAGATTTGATGGCCTATACCTTGGTTGCTTTACTGGTTGATTTCGGAGTCGACGATATTCTCTATATTTGTTTTCAAAGTGGATTTTGGTGCATATGGTTTTCTTCTTTGTATAGATGACATTGTTGTTGAACTGTGTCAATAAATTCTTCGTCTTTCTGAATTGGACAGATATACCCACCAATTAATGTGCTCCCATCACTGTCTCGTCTGATGAAGGTAAGAATAGCACTCATTTGCTCAAGCTCTTGATTGTGCGAGAGGATAGCATTGCATCAGTCGAAATGAGAGTGTACAAATCCTGACTTGGTATGAAGTGTAATCATTGTTCTATATATATTTTTGGCAGAGTGCCATTGGTGAGGGGATGACTCGCAGGGATCATGCTGATGTGTCTAACCAGGTCTGATTGCATGGTTGAACTGGTATAATTTCAATCCTCTATTTGATGTAAAGGCATCTAACTCTTGCTTTTGTTTTTCAATCCTTTCAACTTTCAGCTGTATGCAAATTATGCTATTGGGAAGGATGTGCAGGCCATGAAAGCTGTGGTTGGAGAAGAAGCACTTTCTTCCGAGGATCTGGTTATTCCCTTTTCTACTTCCCCATCAATTTTATTGCACCATTGTTTGGTCAAGCAATTACTTAGAAAGAACCTAATGTGATGTCCCTGAATATAACAGCTATACCTGGAGTTCTTGGATAAATTTGAAAGGAAATTTGTCACTCAAGGAGCATATGACACCCGCAACATCTTTCAGTCACTTGATTTGGCGTGGACACTGCTTCGCATATTTCCTCGTGAACTCCTCCACCGTATACCAGCAAAAACTCTTGACCAGTACTACAGTCGAGATGCAGCTAATTGAAGGTGACAAACTAATATAGATTGCCTCCTTCATGGTTGTCTTTACAAGTTGTTTATTTGCCTCACTTGCATTCATAAGTTGCCTTCTCCTCTATCTGCACAAATAATAATATGGTTGAATTCCAGCTAGAGCTCGCAGCTCATTGGCTTGTAAACAAGACACCAAATATTCTTTCCTGACGGTTATAAATTCTGTAATTTTTGTAGTTTGTGTTCATTAGTGCCACTCTTTGTGTTGGTACGACTTTTTCTCCCAGATGAAATCAGGGCTGATAGGGAATTATAAAGCCTTTGTGTTGCTTGTTCTATATCCCTATTTATTTTTGGTTTCCATTTTTTTTTTTATAGATGAGAAAAATAGAGACCAAGACCAAGACCAAGACCAAGACCAATGCTTCCCCAAATGCATTTAGCTACATTTCTTTTCCTTGTATTGTATGTGATTAAAACAAACGAGTAAACAGGGTTTGTAGACATCTTTAATTTGTTCCAATTCTTTTACAACCTTATACCAAATACAAATTTCCAAGCTTCCAGGCTAATGCAACTCATAGGATGGGAATGATGTGTGAGATCGATTCTATTCAACATTTTGGTTAGGTTTATATTCACATATTTTAGTAACTTATCTCTTCTAAATATTTTTTACATACATTTCCTAGGGCCTGTCACCTTCGCAAACAAATCTGCTCTTACATATTAAGGATTAGAATGGCCAGATATCAAAATAACCTTTATAAAAATAAAATAAAATAAAATAAAAACGTTACTAGGATATCAAAATAATTTGTTTGTGAAACTGACATGTGTATGGGCATTTTGGTAATTTTATAACTTTTATTAATTTAGTTGGGAGCTTCTAAATGTACCCTTATTTAGATGTTTTAAACACACCTTCATTTTTTCTCTCTACATAGTTTTTTTCAAAATACTTAATTACCTTTTTAATCTTAATTTTAAAATTCTTGAATATGCATTTTCTATAAGTTATATAACTTATTGAATAGGCATATTGGTAAGTTATTAAAAGAAAGTTACATTTAGGATTTGAAAAAAAAATTAGTTGAGAAAAATATCATATAAAAAATTTTAAGATTCCTGTATATAAATTTGAAAATTTTTAAAAATTTTCGAATATGCAAATACGTGAATCCGAAAATTTTTAAAAGTTTATATATTTGTAAATTCGAAAATTTTTAAAAGCTTTTGGATTTGCACATTTAGAAATTTTTAAAAGTTTTGGATATGTAAATCTAAAAGTTTAAAAGTGAAAGGGGTGTGAAGAAAAAGGAAAAAAAGGATAATTAAATAATTTTAGTTGAAAATAATTTTGTAAAAAAGATGTGAAAAGTAAAAAAAAAAAAGGTGTGAATTTAAGCTTTTTTTTCTCTCTACATAATTTTTTATTATAAAAATACCCTTAAATATAATAATTAATTAATCTTTGGGAATTTATCATTTAACTCTACTTATTTTTAGTTTCTGAAAATGTATATCCGAAAGGTATAAACTCTTTAGAAATACATATTTGAAAAGTTTAATAGTCTTTTGAATATGTATTTTCAGAAAATTAAAAAAATCTTCTAAAAATCTATATCCAGAAAGTAATTTATGAAATGTTTTTAAACTTTCCGAAAATGTAAATTTGAAAGGCTTGTAAACTTCAATTTCAAAACCTTAAATGCTATATCCCCAAATCATTTTATTATAAGCAAAATTGTTAAATTGTTGAAATTTTTTGAATAAATTAATTGGATGTTTAATATTTTATCACAAATAAAAGGTTATACGAATGAAAGGTTACATGTATGTATTTTATAATGAAAATGTAGGTGTTTAACATGTACAAATATAACACGTACAAATATGCAAAAATGTTTTAACATTTCAAAGTCAGAAACAATGTACAACTTTATATATATATGCCATGCATATATAAACTTATTAACTACCAATCCTAATCCTTCCCTTTTTTGTTTATCAAATAAACACGTTGAGGTGGAGACTGAACTGCTGCTGGAGATTGCGTTGTTGGTGTTGATGCTGCTGTGGTAGGGAACAAGTAGATGCAAGAGGTGTTGTTGGGGGCGGTGCAAGGTCAATGGTCTCGTCGATGTTGGGGGCGGTAGTTTCGTTGAACGGAGGATGGAGAGTGAGCAGGTGCAAGTGGTCTGTACTGATTGCTACTAGCAGGTATTCTAGATTGATTGGTATTGGCCTCCTTTGAGGACTCAAACAATAGGTCACATATAGTAAAGAATGCTCATCTCCATATAGTCGGGTCCTGATCTAATCCACCGACAATAATACTGTCAATAAATGACATTGTCGATGATAGCAAGCCTGCAAATTAAACAAGATAATAACAATCAATAACACATAATTACTATTAAATTGAACAATAACAAATAAATTGATTACGTACAATTTGTTAGTAGGCTCCCTATTGATTATTTGTGATTGAAATTTGGATCTTCGTTCTGAATTCTGAATATGCAGATGTGAAATTGATACATACCAAACATCATAGTCCAATAAAAACTCACCCAATGTCGTCCTCCATGTTCTCCAAGCAGGACATACATACCTACTTTCTCGTAACTAGTCCAAAAAGTTGTATGCAACTAGATACGTGCTACAGGATTAACCTCAATCCACTCAAGACGGGACCAAAAGGGTTAGAGAAATAGCCTGTGCAAAATCGAGTTGTTGTAAAACCCTTTCTAGATGTACGGCTTAACGATACTATTGCATTTCAAACACTTAGAAAAAAAAAAAAAAACTAATCTCATGTAATGGATGTTGTTGTCATTCTGCATAAGGTTCCAAACATACATCGGTCAGAAAAAAAAAAAAAAAAAACTAATCTCATGAAATGGGTGTTGTTGTCATTCTGCATAAGGTTCCAAACATACATCGGTTGGTTGCAAGTTATCAAGCTGCTCTCATAATCGTAATTTATCGGCATATGTACGGGGCCTCCAACGTAGAGCACGAGGTTAAGTATTGGAATATTTTAGTACAATTATTGATCCTAGTGAAGGAAAGTGCTCATAATTCCATCCTACATCAAATATATGAACCATCATTATTCACATGTTTGTTTTAATCAAATAAACAAAATTAGAACAATATCGTATAACTATTCTTATATACATACATGAAAAAACATTATATAACCAGTAATTTGATGAATATCAGACCTATTGGTTACACCAAACTGCCTATATAATTATGATAGGCAAGCTGTCCCCAAGCATATCTATCAGTTTGGTTGAGATCGTTCAAGAGAGTTAAATTCGCAATTGATATCTTATCTTCACCCTTGTAAACAAACAACGTGCAACCTAAGAGATGGAGTAAGAAAGCCCTGCTTGCACACTTTTCACCTCAATTAGAAGTTATATCCTTTGTATCAACAAAATGATCCCACAACCACTGTAGTTTGGTTGCTGCGCCATAACAGAATTTGGTCTCATTAGTTGCCTAGGCCTTTGACACTCCAAAAAACTGCATTAGCATCGTGTTCACCTCATTGATTGTCATTTAATTTTGATGAGAAACCATGGCTTCCTTGATAGATACATCGAGAATGGTAGACACATCATCTAGTGTGATTGTCGTTTCACTAAATGGTAAGTGAAAGGTGTTCATCTCAAGCTGTCACTTCTCAACAAATGTGGATACTATTATATTGTTGCACAAACTATAGGTGCAATTGATTAATGATTGCAACCAGGACTTAACAACGTGTGCACTTATACATTGGTAGGAAGCATCTAGAAATCATTGCTATAACTTTGCGCTATGGTTTGTGGATTTCAATGTTGTTCGCTCCTATAACAATAATAGCAAATGGAAACTAGTTATTAACTTTATAAACATTAAGTAATGAGGATAAATCATAAGTATGATCGTGATTGAATTTATTACATGCCTATTCCATATACTTGCTACAACATGCGTGTTGAAACTCTTAAGGTTAGAAAAGTATCCATTGGCCCTCTAAGAAAAGAGTTAATTAGATCGCGCGCATCTCCACCCCTATCATCAAGCTGCTGGGTGGGTGGTTTGTCCTCAAGAATTGGCATTGGTGTCAACCGGCTCATTTACATATTCTTGGACTTGCCATATGCTCTTAAAGGTAGTCAAATGTGTTCGAGTGTCAAGTGTAGTACGTCCCTCAGCTCTACCAAATTGCGTCCTCTCGTTCATGTCATATTTGTTACATAGAACAAATGAATGTTAAAACACTTTCCCACTCAAAGCAAATATGCAAGTTAATCCAAAGATTTAATATGTTTTATACTGATATTGATTTGTACATTCATATTGGTATTGAATTTGAAATTTATAGTTTCCAGATTTGCTTATCCAAAAACTTTTAAAAGCTTTCAAAGATGCAAATTTGGAAACTCTTAGAAGCTTTTGAATTTGTATCCCTGAAAACTTTTTAAAGTTTCTAAGCTTGTGTCAACTTTTAAAAGCTTTCAGATCTGCATATTTGGAAGCTATTAGAAGTTTTCGATATGCAAATCGGATCGAAAACTTGTAATGACATGAAAAACGTTTCCTGTAACACAATTTTATCAAAAAGTACAAATTACAAAGCATAAAACCTAGAAAATCATTCAAACATCATAAGTAAATCACCTTAATATTGGAATGGATGAGTTAAAATTGCTAATCTTGTCCAAAAAATTGACAATTTCAAGCTAAGAATCGATCAAGAAAAAGGGAAAAGAAAACTATTTTAGGGTTTCGGTGTAGATGAGGGATGAGGATAATGAAGGAATTGAAATGTTATGGGTGTGGGGTGTAAAGAGTAGTAATAAGTTTTTGGGGTTTGAATTTTGGGTGATTATCAATAATATCACTATCAATAATATCAATATCATCAATAAGAAAATCTTTAAGCTTGCTATCCAAGAACTTATTCAGCAATATTGTAATGAAAGGAATATAAGAGAGCATGTCGCTAGGTATTAATTAAAATTTGCACCATTATATACATAGACTAACTTGTTCATTTGAAGATGTTTTCATTTTGTGTTTTATGTTTTTCTTTTCATATTTTTTTTTTTTGAAAATTAGAAATAAAAATATGTTAGGCAGGTTGTTTTTATTTTAAAAACAACAAATTTAAATCAAAATTTTGAAAATTGTTGGAAAGGAAAAAAATGTTTCCAATATTTTCTAAACATTTCCGTCATTTTTACCGGGTGAATAGTATCAATTTCAATGAAAAAAATGAAAGATATCCTTCAAAACTACCCAAACTAAATTTGAATCCTTACTATT